TAACAAATCCGAATCTTCCGTTTTAGGAAAAAAAAAAGTCTTAAAATCATGCTCTATTTAGAACTACTATTTTAGTATGTATTTGTAATTATTTAATTAGGAAAAAATTATTTTCAATTTAACTTAAAACCCTTTATTCTCTATGTCCGAGAATTGCGGACGCTTGACCGCTTCGAGACAATGGTGATGAGAACCTGAATCAAGAGAGGAACCAGGATTTCAGAAAGTTCTCATAGTACTATAGAACTTTAGTTTTATTATAATTTAACCATAGCTATGTATATATAATACTTATTGAATAAATTATACTCCAAATGGTTTAAATATGAAATTTATTTTATAGCAACTGCCAAACTAATTTTGAATGTTAAACCCCTTTATAAAATATCTGCAATGAATTAGAAGCATCAATTTATATTTTCAATTTCTCAATTTGAAAATCTATTTTCAGTTTCTTTATTATGATAATTTTAAATCTAGTTATATATATCTATATGAAATTTGAAAGATGACATTAATCATTTGTTTTCATTTTCTATTTGATTTATTTTTATATTAATAAAATGAGGATAAAAATCTTCCTATACAGTTTACTGTATTAAATAATAAATTGTGTGAAATTTTTTTTTCTGTGAAAATAATAATTATACAAGTGATATTTTTTTATAAATAAAAATGGCATATAGAAAAAAAAGAAGCCTTTACTGTGCTGCAACTTCACAATGAAGAGTACAAGGTATATAGGAAGAGAGTGTGGATGAAGATCCCGCAAGCATCACAGACAACATTTTCTATACCAACACACAAATACAATATATATACATATATATATATATATGTATATAGTTAGGGTGAAATAATGGAGGGAATGGCATCAGGTCCTGAACATATATACACCAAATACAACTAAGCTAGAGATTAGGTAACGGATTAGAGGAAAATAGACCTAGAACCATCTTTAGTTATCCGTCGTTTGTTGGTAAACTTAAGTTTAGAAATAGCCGGAGAACAGAAGATACGAAGAGGTATATTCGCTTGAACTAAGCTCTAAACATACCTGTTCAGCCTCCGTAGGTATGCCAACCTGTCTACTGAATGAGAATGTATTGACCATGTACACTCCGCATAGAAGAGCTATATATATATATACAAAATCCATACATTTGAAACTGATCTATCACAATTTCTTTATTTCCATCACAAGTATTTTTTTTTCAAGAATTACAAATACTTTTCTAATTGTTCCTAATTAATTTTCATCAAAAAAAAATCTCTTCATTGATATACAATCATCAAATTATTTTGATTGTCAATTTGAAAAAGATGTCAATTGTTAATAGAAAAATTCTGTAAAAATAATTTAAAATCTTTTAATAAAAATTGTTGACGGAACTGTTTTTATATGATAATAAATTTTACATTTATATTTGTTATTTAATAGTTATTAATATTTATTAAAAATAAAAATACAGAGGGAGAGAGAGAGAGGGAGAGAAAGAGAAACAAAAAATTTGTAGAAAGTTTAAATAATTAAAAAAGAAATAAAAATTATTCCATCACGTTGACGATTGGTTTTTGTTTTGAAGAAAGAGAGAGAGTCATTATAACTCAGCCTACACTTGTTTCGTTTGGTTTCTCGGCGCCCCTTTCTCACAAGATAACAGAATAGTTGAGGAGCATAGGAAAACAGTTTCATACTAACTCAACAGGTGGTTATTCCATATGTGTATATACCAACACTTAGCATTGAAACTTCTCTGTTCACATGGGAGGTATATATAATATGAATGTTATATTTAATTAGGAAAACATATATTTTTGTTGATATTTTATACATTTAATCTATACAGTCACGTTTGACGAATGTAAGAATTATTTCTACAAGAGAAAAAGACTAATTTGCAAACTAATTTTTTTTATTTTTAATAATTTTGTTTTGAAAAAAAAATAATCACAGAAAAGTGAGGTTATGTAAATTATTTAAAAAAATATAATTTAATTTTCGAAAAAAATTGTAGACAAAATACATATCTCTGTGTTATTTTTAACTTGGATGCAACATGAGAAAATAATTTATTAGAAAACCAAATCGTAAATGCACTTAGAAATATTTATTATCTCTTTTTCCATGACAGAAAGATCTATGTTTAGATATATATATAAAGTAGAAAAGTATGTTGTTGTTTGTTATATTTTTATCAACGTTGAATGATACAACCAGGGGGTTATAAACTAGAAAATCAAATCGTAACATAACCTCAAAAAATAAAAAGTATATATAATAAAATTGTATCAACTTTTATTAAACTGATGGGTGAGAAATCGACTAGAAATTTAATTTAATGCACGACACATTTCAATTATATTACAGTCGTAAATATAAACATAAAATTATTATTCAAAATTTCATTGTAATGCATTAATGATTCATCTTATGGATGTTCGAAAATGTAACTATTTAATTTATTGAGCTTGTTTCACTGAATGTCGTCGTTCCATTTAGAAACCAGGAAGTTCAGTTTAAGCAAAGCTGCGGTCGATGCTCCGGTGTAATAATATATATCTCATGTAGTATATTTGTGACTAAAATTTTTTTTTCTACTTTTGTATAAACATGGATATAAATAGTTTCAATTTCAAGGTTAATTTTAAAATTTATTATTTTCAAAGAAATAATTTTTTTATTATATTTTATTATAAGTTTAACAAAATAGTTTTTTATTTTTGATTTCGCGATTTACTCTCTATATGCAACAGGCGCAGAAAAAGTGTTTTATTTCGTAATCTAGATTAAAAAAAAAAGTGTACCAACTTATTTCAATGACAAGACAATTCATTAACTGGTTTTCTGGAGGATAATTTAAATAAAAATTCTCGTTTCTAATATATATAATTAATTCCATCTTCCGAGTTTAATACCAGAAGACAAACCTGTTTTTTTTTCTTCTTTTTTTAAGATAAATGATTCGTAATTGTGAAATTCTTTCATTATTTACATATTTGAAAAATAAATGCTTTTTTTATAAAAGAAAGAAATTAATGTATAAAATTCCATTTACTTTTTTAATGTGTGTTCTTGTTTCTAATGGATTAATAAAAATTAACATTTTAAGACCTTTATTGATTTATAATAGAACTTATTTTATTCTAAAGAATATAATATATCTAATAAAAATTTTTGTATCAATTATAATACTATATTTTTTTTCCAAAATTAAATTAGACTATATAATTTTAAAGTGTAGGCTGAAAATAATTGTATAGTCGATTCACTCGATTTCTAGTGGACATATGTGAGACGAATCTGAAATATTTTGTGACCAGTTCTCTTGGAACTTTACAAGATTTAAATAAACAAGTGGACACTAGAAATATATTTCCGAGAATAGATTATACTGTATTTTAAAAAAAAAATAACACACTTTTTGATTTTTTTTTAGTTACAATTTTGGGAAATTGTTTTAATTTTTTAATAAAATAGTTTTTTTTCTCTTTTTTCAGATGCAGTAGCAGAAAAATCACCGATTTAATGTCCTTTAGGAAAAAAGGCAAAGTATTATATTAGAAAACTAAATCGTAACAATAATTTTATCTATATACTCCCACTTACTAGAATTAACAATTGAAAAATCAAAAAAACATAGAAATATTATATTTAAAAAAATTCTCTTATAAAAAATTTTTTATTCTGAGTTAAAAAATGCTGTTTATAATAAATATTTCAATAAAATGAGGAATTTTTTATTTTGGAGAAAGTATAACGCGTTCTTTCGAAGGTTGGGGTAAATTTAGAAACCGCGAGTAATTGTATGTGGAACAAAATGTATCGTCAACAAAGATATTTCCTGACACTTTTTGACTTATATATATACATATATATTATATATAGTTTTAGAAATTTTAATAATAAAATTATTTTAATTTATTAATGACTATTAAAATTCGAGTAAAGATTAAAAGAGATAATAAAAATGCATTAAGAATGTTGAAAATTTATTTGACTAATGTTTGTAGTAATGTGGAAATTAAAAAAACAAAAACCAATACACATCTGACAAGTGAATGAACTATGCGTTAAAGCGCGATGTGTAAATAAACTGATTTCAACACAACTTCCTTCCTACCAATCAAAATGTTGTAAACCCTCATCAAAAAATTTAACAAAACGAAAGTTTTCCTTATTATAAAGCTATTAGTATAAAAAAAAAATTATAAATACTAATGAAAATTTAGTATTTATTTTTTGTTCCATTATTCCAAAAGAAATAATTAACCTCTGTCTTAGCAGATATGTAAAATATTGAAACTATTTTAAGAAAACTTTAAAAAAAATTTCTCTACAAAAAAAAATTGTAATTAACATTTTCCAAAAGTTAATCACATACTTCTGACAGATTTTGATGTATGTTGTATATAATTAATCTTCTAAAAATTCCAGAGCACATATATAAAGAAAAGAAAAAAAAAAGTAAAAACAATCGAGAATCAATACCAAATTTTTTTTTCAAAAACGAATTTTAATATTTAAAATTCTTTACTACATATGGAAATAGAAATTCTTTTATTTTATTATAAAAATTGTTTGCGAGATAAATAATTTTTGTGAATTTAAATTAGTGTTTCTTTTCTATATATTTAAAAGAATGAGAACGTTATTAATTGTGGAAATATTAATGACGTTGTTTTTATGACTACAATAAAAATAATAAAAAGGGGAGATTGTCCATGACATATAGCGAAGGATGTGACATTGAACTTAACAAGGTAATAACTATTATTCACATCTCGTTTAAATAAAAAAAAAAAAAAATTTTCCCACTCTTTTTATAAAATTAAATAAAAAAAATCATTTAAAAATTTTTTTATCAACACTCAAGATTAATTTCTCGAATAAGAAAAATAAAGGAAATTTTTTATGAAAAAAATTAATCCCAAAGAACCTTTGTATAATTAAATTTAATGGTTTAAAACATTTTTTTTTTTGTTTTGGTCACACTCACCAATTAGACAAATTGCTATAATTAATTGAATTGCAGTTCCCTTCATATTTTTTCGTTTGTCCTTGATTTCTTGCACTTGTTAAAATACAGAAATTAAAAAATAAGGAAAAAGAGATGAAGGTTAAAATTGACATCCACAAATATCAGTTTAACTTTTCACATCCATGGAAGGGAGCACAAATTTTTTTTTTTTTTTTTTTTCTAAAAAATCAAACTTTCATAAACACGAATCACCCTTATATTTTTAGACGATCACTTTTCACTTATATACACAATCTACCAAGAATTGAAGAACAGGAAGATTTCAATTTAAAATTTCATGAATCATTTTCAATAATTTTTTATAAATAAAATTTCATTTAATTTCCATTATTTTTTTAAAATTTGTTTTAATATTAAAATTTTCGATTAAAAAGTTTGAAAACTCTAAAAAAAAAAAGGTTCAAAAAAATTTTTTTAAATTAATTTTTTTCTTTTTCAGTTATCACAATCATTGAAGAAAAGTGTACGCGAGGTAAAGAAGAAGAGCGTTATGAGCGCTTCGCGAGATCGGACATATCTGGTCTATTGGCCTAGTGTCTGACACTCTTGTATTAAAGTATATAGACATTCACAACTTTCTGCGTTCACCACAGTCACAAATTCAGGCGTCGTCCCTCTTCAATTCTCTACATAGATATATATATATGTGTCCCACGAGTCTCATCTTCACAGACACTTACTCTTTTAACTGGGGTTCATCTCCACCTCCACATTGGGCGAAGAATATATATTCTTCCCCTTCTATAAAGTCAAATGTATGATATTTTTGAACATCCACTAACCGCATAAATATCTTTCACATATGAAAGAATCATATACACGAAAAGTCAAGAGAGGATCAAGAATTGCATAATTTTCACTTCTACACATAAAATTTTTTTCCTATTTTTTTTACAGATATTCAAACAATGTATAATCTTCTTCTTTTATTTTTCAGATGCAGCAGAAGGATCATTGGGAAAATTAGTATTTTGAAGACCAATCAGTATTTACGGATTATTGGCAACTATAGGTGCGCCATCTTTTGGATATCCATAATCAAAATTACAATTTTGATGTCAAAAAAACGTTTTTTAATGAAAACTAAATCGTAACACTTGTAAATTTTTTTCATCAACATCAGTAACAGTCAGAAAATCTTAAAAAAAATGGATTAGGAATAACTGATAAAAAAAATGCAACTAAAGATAATATATTATCAATATTTATTTAATTCATTCATGATAGTGTAATTAATCACATAATATTAAAGTAACCCAATTATTGCTACCGCATATATTCATATTTACAATATTGAAATTATTCGTCGCACAATTTATTTTATGGTATAATTTTTAGAGTCAAATTTATTTTTTCTTTTAATAAAATTTTTTATTCCAAACCTTTTTTTTTTCTCAAATCAAAAACGTGTATAAAATGTGATTGTTAAAAAAACAAACTTGAATAAACATCGCTTTTAAATTTTTCATTAATCATACATATATATATTGCTATTTTAATTGAAAAATTATATATTTAATGTTTATTCAAGTTGTTTATTGTACATTTTCATTCAATTTATTTTTTTTTTTTTTTAATAGAAAGAAACGCGTGAAATTTACGTATTACGTTCATACCCATAATCCCGTTTTACTTATAATTGTGAAAAATAAAATACTTTAGTTAACAATAAATTATTAAATATCTATTCACAGGAGTATGTATAAGTTGTCTAGAAAAAAAAATTAAAATAATCATCACCTCATTCATAAATGTTATCGTTACTTTTTTTTTTCCTGTCGCTTTCATTATATTATCGCATAGACACAATCTAAATGGTATAGTAATTGTATTCATAAGTTATATTTAACAGTTTACAAAAATTGTTAATTTACTCCGGTTTTTTTTCTGGGAATATGACTAAAAAAAAAAAATCTTACATTTACTTTATGCTCAAAAGTGATGCGTTAATTAATGAACCAGTCGTTTTGCATAATTCTCGAGTGCATTATAAATTTTTGAAAAAAATTCTACTTGTAAATATTTTTGCAAAGAACAACAAATACCAATAATTTGATGATTAAAAAAAAAGTGTTTCAATTTTTGTAAATATTCTCCTTGGCATATATTTTTTTTTCAACACTCATAACAAAATTCGTAATTATATATTAAGTAATTCACAGGCCCTAAGTCGCTGTTAATTTGTTTTTTTTTCCGTTACTATTATATGATTGGTTATCAAAATTATCTGATAACATTTCTTTGAAATAGTACACGTGCGTAAAAATAAACAAATTATGTGCAATTTAATTATATATCTCTCACTTCTCTCATCTTCCAGTCTTAGAAAGAGAAAAAAAAAAATTTTTTTTTCATTAACTGGAAGAGAAATGCGTTAAATGGAAATTAAAAATGAAAAAATAATTCCAAACATTGCTGGAAATTTCAAATTTTGTTTTAAAAGTGTAAAATTACAAAATTTCAAATGTATAATATTTTGTACGAAGAAAAAAGAAATTGAAAAATTTTATGCAACAGCGAAGAAATTTGATATATAATGTCATTTCAACTTGACGCATTTCTCAATTGGGTTTTATTTTTTTCCTTTTGCCTGAAATATATGTCAGGCTTACATTTTTTTTTTTTTCGCTAAATCGCATATAGAATATGACTTTCTTTAAATCTTTCAATATATATATACAATTCTATTCGCATGACATACTTTTCACTGATTATTATGTGCTACATTATTACAACAACAAAAAAAAAAGAAAATGACTCACAGTTTTGTTATACAAGAAAAACTCGCATTTTTACATATTACACTAGATGACAAAACTTTAAACAAAATGTTTTATTTTAATATAGACGAAGCGATCATAGGAATTGACTAAATATTATTAGCTTCTAGGCAGTCGTTTGTAGCTTTAATTTTATTTTTTGGAAGAAAAATATATTTATGAAATGTGCATGTGTAAAATAATAGTTAAAACTTAATTCTAAAGAATAAAATAATGAAGGAAGACGATGATTATTTTTTTTTTTGTTAACAAATGCAGTAATTATCATCGACTACCTAAATAACTATTTATAGAATGATAGCTCGTCAATTTATAGTCACGAAAAAAACATTAACGAAAAAATACAAAAACAAACATCTACACATAAAACAAATTTTTACAAATAAATTCATTAATGACAAAATGGAATTTTGGGAACAATAAAACACTCACACACTTACAATATTTTTTTTTCACTTTCTCGCTATTTACAATGCAGACTTAAATATCGACCTTTTTTTGCTACTTTAATAAAGTAGTTACTTTTTTTTTTTTTTTTTTTGTATAATTATTCTACAAGAGAAATTATAACATCTGGCATTTGTTTGTCTATTATAGGTCGTTTCTCTTGATTGACTAATAACTCCAGTCAAGAACTCGTTTATCTAATTTGAGATAAATGAGTGTTTTCTTTTGCATAATTCCATCTTTGAATTGATGGAATAAAAGTCAAAGAATAATTCTGAAGATTTTCATTTTTTTTTTTTTTTTCATTAGTTCATATCAAAATTGCAATTGTTACTATTGTGATGCATCTATTTTTTTTTTTATTTATAAAGAAGAATGCGCACGATAATAAGGATTTCCTTTGATGGGAATAATGTGAGCTTCAGAATTAAAAACCCAATCGTCCAGACTTATTAAGGAATCATCGCTGAAGAGTAAATAGAGGTACTGCAAACAAAAAATAAAGAGGAATATTATAATGAAATTGTAAATTAATTTACTAATTGTAAATAATTATTTAATTCAAATTCTAGACAGGGGTACAAAAGTACCCCAGAGAAAATTCAAACTACGGCCCTGGTTCCGTAACTGTTATGGCGGTACTCTAACCTTAATTTCAGTTTAGTTATCGAATAATTTTTCACCTAGCGGCGATTATTTACTTTTATAATAACTGGTGGTAATTAAAAAAAATTTAAAAAAAATTTAATTTTAAAAAAATTTTATGTTTTATTAAAAAGGTTTTTCTTTCTAATTTATTATTTTCCAATATACCTTGAGGGTTTCTGCAAAAAAATAACTTTGCTGGACGTCGTCCTTCGGTGAATCCACCGTGTAAACGTTTTGAAGTCCCGTGAATCCTCCAGGGACACGACAATGTTTTTCCAGTGCTTGAACAGCTTCCCATCCCCATTCTCTATATTTCTGATCCTTTGTCAAACGCCACAGTATAAAGTACGATTCAAACGTCTATAAAGAAAGAGATCAAAAAAATACTCATTAAAAAAGAAAATTAATAATCTTCGTACATTAATTGCACTTGAAGTTAAGAATTTTTTTTTTTACTTTAAAACGAACTAATTAAAGTTTGAAGCTAAAGATGATAAAAAAAACTAATAATAGACTGAATGGGTGAAGAAAAGGTGACAAAGTAATTTTGCAATTAAAAGATGGTTTCTTTTTTTATTATTAATTAGATGCAACAGGTTTATAATTGTTTTTTTAGTTTCTTTTTTTAAATTTACCTCGGGTCGTAAAATATAATATTTTTCTCCACTCTTCAAACTTCTTGCTTCATTGCCTTCGATAAAATGAAAAGTTTCAGGACCTAATTTTGTCGGTGTACGATCATACGATTCATGACATGTATGCGTCAATCCTTCGGCAATTTCCATATGTCTTATTCTCTTACTTTTTGTAAATTGATCCTGTGTTTTTGCACCCAATGCAAACATTCCACCTGAAATTAATTTTTATTTCCATTAATTTTGATATTTTTTTATTCTATATTGGTATAAAAAAAAAGGAATTTTTTTTTCTAATTACCAGCAAAACAAGCAAGATGACCCATTTTTCTATCCACTCGATCGAATTTCATATCAGAAACATAAGTCAATCCACCTGGGGATTTAAGAACCATGTGCTCTTCAATTGCATCCATTGCTTTTTCATACATTTCTTTAGCTTCAACATCGGTTTTTCCCGATTGAATGTATGCTTTTAGAAGATATTCATAAAAACTGTCTCCTAAGGCTCCCAATGACATGTGTTCTGAAAAAAAAATTTAATTATAAATCTATTTAAAAAAAAAAATCAATATCAAAGTGTAAATAAAAGAAAACAGAATTGAAGTGACATATAGGAGTGAGTAAATTATGGGTCTGAAAAGGGAAGAAAAAAAAATTGACCTTCCACTACCGTGACCTGACTCAACGATAAATTTCAGAGCGATTACAGAGGCGAACTGTTACTGCTAATTTATTCAGCTACCGAATAAATAAGAACGTCGTGGTTCCTTTATATACATATATAACAAGATTCTTACTCTTTTGTATTCCTTTGAATACTTTTTTCCCCCCTTTTTTAACTTCATTTGACCTAAATTATCACAAATGAATCAAAAATTGTATAATTTTCACTTGTACTCATGAAATTCTTTTTCTATTTTTTTACAGATATCCGAAAAGATATGCATAATCTTTTTCTTTTATTTTTCAGATACAGCAGAAGGATCATTGGGAAAATTAGTATTTTGAAGACCAAACAGTATTTATTGATTATTGGTAATAGGTGCGCCATCTTTTGGATATCCATAATCAAAACTACAATTTTGACGCCAAAAAAAGGTTTTTTAATGAAAACTAAATCGTAACACTTGTAAATTTTTTTCATCAACATCAGTAACAGTCAGAAAATCATCAATAAAAAAAATGGATTAGGAATAACTGATAAAAAAAATCAAAACTAAAAATAATATACTATCAATATTTATTTAATTCATTCATGTTTAGTGTAATTAATTATATAATATTAAAGTAACCCCTAAAATTATCACAAATTATATAATTGCTTCCCACATTTTTATTTAGAGCTTAAATTTTATCACTAAATAAAAAAAAAAAAAACCCCCCATTTACTTTATACAGAGAGTACATGTGTGTACAATATTTTCATGCAATTATTGGCAATATTAATGAATTCCATGATTAACTGAATTGCAATCAGCAATAGTCTCTCCATACTAATTATAAAATTATAATTTTAGCTTATTCATAAATCACGAATAAAATGATAAATTACAGATAATTTTATTTAAATTTTATTTTATTTACTGAAAAATTTTTCATCAAAAAATATGGATTTTTTAAAATAATTTTTAAAATTTATTTAAAATTTCTATAAAATTTTATTTATTTATTAATTTATTTAAAAAATCTTCTGTGTAATAAATAAAAAATTGTCTCTTTTTTGTGAATATTAAATTTTCAAAATTATATATGAAGGGCTTTCTCCTTTTGAAGTTGACGTATTTATTATCCTCCGCAAACGCAAAAAACTGCGTTTTCAATATTACTCGCTGAATATTTTAACAAAATGTGTACAACGCGAAGAATTTAAATTAAATTCCATTGTTCAGACGCGAAAAATGCTGGTGAAATTGGAAGTTTGCCAGGTAAGATGCAGAAAGAAAGAGGAAGATATATATATATATATATATATATTCAATTTCATGTCGACTCAAGTACCAATATCACGTAAAGTTGAAAACTTTATTAAAAACTTTGTCAGCGGATGATGGATAAATATTGCGGTTTCAGAAAAATGTAACCTTTATTTACTGTACAGAATTTCTTTCAATATAATATCGTTCACTCTCTTTTTTTACTCTTTGCACAAAAAAAAACATCTAGAGTTCAAGAAATCACCTTCAGATTGAAAAGAATTTTTCCTTTTAGAACTTTTACAATATAAAAAAAATATCACTATCAATATTATTATATTTCACAGATATTTTTTCTTATCTTTTTATTTTTTCTTTTGTTTACCGAAAAATTTATACGCCATTTACTTTTTACTATGATAGAATTTGTCTATTTTGATGAAATTAAAAAAAAAAAAATTTTTAAATATTAAAAAATAATAAAAATAAATTTTATTTGTTTTTAAAAATTGCCTTATTGATAATTAATAAATTTAATAAAATTACGCAGAATATTTTATACATGGAAAATTATTTATTTTTTTTTTTTCAAAGTTGTGGAATATAGCCGAGAGCGCTTCTTGCGTTACACCTCGCCTTTTTCCGGTCACAAAACCCTTATTACTATAATTCAACGCCATCCGTTATTGCTTTGCCAAGGCCAAAAAACTTTTCAAGCAAAATTGTATAATTTCTTTTTTTTCTCTCATTTCTCGAGTTTTTCAATTTAAAGACCACCCGGTAGTGATTTTTTTTTCCCCCCTCAAACATGTTGATTGATTTATTGTGACTTTTTAAATAATTATAGCACAAAAAAAAAATTTTCTTCTCCAGAAAATGAGAAATTAGAATAATTTAAAAATTTTAATTTCGTGTAAAATATTTTAGACATAAATCTCTGTTGACAAGAGAATAATAGAAAAAAAAATTTGAAAAAATATATCTGTTAATGAGATTTTTGTTGGAAAAAAAAAAATTTATATTTTTGTTGATACTTACGTTGACCCCATTTTCCAGTTTTAGGATGAATATAGTTGGGATAGAGACCTTTGGGCTTTTCCATATTTTTTAAAACGGTTCTCACTTTTTGCACCTTATCTCTGAATGTTGAATTTCCAGTGATATCACTGAGATAGGAAAATTCAAGATGCATTGTTCCGATTTCGGATAAAATACTACAACCACTGCTGGCCCATGCATAGTTTTTGCTGGCCTGCAAAATAAAAATATAATTGTTAATTTTGAAAATTATATTTTAAAAAATAGCGATTTCAATGAAAAATCTTTTTTTTATTCCTTTTTTCACTCTTATTATAGAAAATTTTTTAAATTTTTATTAAAATTTGTCTAAAAAAAAAAAATTCACTAAAGATGACAAAAAAATTTCTATTTTCTGACTTTAGATAAGACAAAGTAATCTTAAAATAAGAATAAAAAGACTGAGGTATATGTAGTCCTTTAATTAAGGCACTTCTCTCTCTCTCTCTCTCTCTCTCTCTCTCTCTCCCCCCCCTCTCTCTCTCTCTCTCAAAACGACAATTCGTAATATACGATTATAATAAAGCTTTTCGTTGGGCTTTAAAAGCTCACTACAACATTAAGAGCACTAAAGTAAGGTACACAGGTGCAAATACGTGGTATGTTTTCAAAATTATGCTCCATTGCTCTTTCCTTTACTTTACGAGGAAATTTCTATCTAACAAAAGCTGCTTTATATATATTATATATGCTGCATTTTACCCGACATTTCTTGTTTTTTTATTTATTTACAAATCTATAAAAAAAAAGAACTCAAGATTTAAAAGTACTTCTATTATAACATTTTGCGCTTAATATTCCATTATAAAAATATTAAAAGAGGTAAAATATTTTCAAATAATTGTAATTAACGTAAATATTTTAATTTAGTATGGAATAAAAAAAAACATTGTGCTTTTAACAAATTTTCTGCTCTGTCTATTGTTTTTTTTGCATTTGTAAAATTTTTTGCATTATGATTTAAATAATAGTGGCAACTATTTTTTATTAAAAGCTTACTGAGAAGTAGTACAAGTCAGTTATAGTCAGACAGATACATTTTTGAAATTTAGAATCACAAGCGAGTTCGATTTTTTTTAAATTTAACATAAGTAGTAAAAGTTGGATTTAGTCAGACAAACTTGTGAAATTCTTTTAATCTTGTTATTTTATAAATTTTTATTCGCTTAAGTCCGAAACCAATTCCAGGAAATTTGCAAATTTGCCACCCACATTTTTTTTATTTAACGAACATTTTTCTAAAAAAAAATAATGAATTTTAATATTAATCTTGTTATTTTATTTATTTTTGTTCATTTAAGTTCGAAACCAGTTCCAGAAAATTTGCAAAACTGACACCCATAATTTTTTTTAAAGAAAGTTTTTAAAAAAAAATAATAATCAATTTTAATAATAATCTTGTTAATTGATTTATTTTTATTCACTTAAGTCCGAAACCAATTCCAGGAAATTTGCAAATTTGCCACCCACATTTTTTTTATTTAACGAACATTTTTCTAAAAAAAAGTAATGAATTTTAATATTAATCTTGTTATTTTATTTATTTTTGTTCATTTAAGTCCGAAACCAGTTCCAGAAAATTTGCAAAACTGCCACCCATAATTTTTTTTAAAGAAAGTTTTTTAAAAAAAAGTAATAATCAATTTTAATAATAATCTTGTTATTTGATTTATTTTTATTCACTTAAGTCCGAAACCAATTCCAGGAAATTTGCAAATTTGCCACCCACATTTTTTTTATTTAACGAACATTTTTCTAAAAAAAAGTAATGAATTTTAATATTAATCTTGTTATTTTATTTATTTTTGTTCACTTAAGTCCGAAACCAATTTCAGAAAATTTGCAAAACTGCTACAAATAATTTTGTTTATTTAACCAAAATTTTTCTAAAAATAGATAATCTATTTTAATATTAATCTTGTTATTTTATTTAATTTCTGTTAGCAGTAGTACAAGTCACTTATAGTCAGACAACATTTTCATAATATAATTTTTCAAAATACATAAATTAAAAATTAATATATTAAATCTCACTCCCTTTATTAAATCCCCTAAATTGAAATTTTGTAAAATAATAATAATAAAAAAGAAACAAAAAATTTTTTAATGCAAATTTTTTATGTGCACATTCATTTCTTTGAAGCCTTATTATTTCCTCAATTAAGAATTTGCATATTAATCATGACGAGTAATTTCTCTTTGAAAACGTGACTAAACGAAATGGCTTTAATTTTCGTCGAACGACCCTGGGAGTTGTACAAGCGTTTCCCTGTCGTCAAAAAAAAAAAAAAAAAAAATTTTTTGTCCTCTTTCTATATATATGTAGTGTATTCCACGCAGAAAGAGAACACAGAAATTGAGTAAAAGAGGTTTTCGTACACGAAATCGTTGTGTTCGTTAAAACTAGTGGCCAAAGCGGAAGAGACGAAAAGTAAAAAAAAAAATAGAATAGAGCAAATAACTAAAAATACTACCACCACGAGTGGTGGTTAGTCCTGCGGTTGATTAAAATCTAGAAAAGACAATTTTAGAATTCTACCTTCAAATGTATTTTTTCAACTTTTGTAATTTTGTCAATCTCTCTACTAGAAAAATTACCAATTTTCTCAAAAAATTTATGCTTTTACTCAAGGTAAATTTTTCTAAAAAAAAGTTATTTGAGACACTTTCTGTAATGACGAAAAATGATCTCATTATATTAGCCTTTTTTTTTGTTATAAAGAAAAAGTTGTGTCGAACGATAAGGAAATGGAGTGTATAAAATTTCAAAAGAAGCAGAACCAATTCTTATGCAAAACAGTTACAAAATGAAGCTTTTTCTTTCAAAAGAAGAGACAAAAGAGATTTGTGCGAAATGAGAAAATGTGACAAGAGTAAGTTTATCACTTTTTTTCGTAAATATATATATATATATAAAGAAATGGTTTATGGTTCTTGTTTCACGAGTGGATAAGATTTTCTCACTTTCATCATCATCATCATTTTTTTTTTTTTTTTTTTTTTGAAAAAGCTGCGTAAAACTTTTAAACTTACCCCTGTACGAAGGTTTATGAGAGAATAAGGAATTCCTGTTTCCGTGTTGAAAGCAGGTAACATTCGAATTCCAAGCTCAAGTGATTTATTTCGAAACATTGGATCTCCTGTAAGTGCATAGCACGTCAAGAGACTTCCCATGAAACGAATATTTGTCTCAAACAGCGAAACCTCCGAATCCTGGAATAAAAAAATCATAAAATTCATAATTGTAATATAATTTACACCATTAATTTTTTTTTAGGTCCCGAAAAAGAATTTTATGTCAAGAAAAAAAAACATTTTTTTAAAAAATTTGTTCGTTGATATAGACATTATTTTTTAATTTTCTTTTGATTTAAGGTATTTAAAGGAGTATATTTAGATTCTCTTCTTTTTTTTTTCTCAGCACAAAAAATTTATCGGTGATATAGTAAGAAAAGGATAAAATTTAATGTTACAACGACGATAAACTATGAACTGGTCCTTCGAAAATATGAGACTCCCCGTGGAGTAACACGGATTCCACTGTGTGAGAAACACAGGGGTGTCCCCACTGACAAATATGAGGAAATAAAGGTATATAAAAGTGTCCTGAAATTCCCATTCAAAACATTTTTTTTAAATTGATACAATAAAGAAAAGAAATTTTAAATTAAAAATTTTTATTTCAAAATATAGAAATTAGAACAAATTTCTTTATTATTTAATAAAAATATTAAATTTCCCTTTTTTTTATAGTAACAGTTTCAAATACAATTTAAAAAAAAAAATTTCATTTCAATAGTAAATAATTAAAATTTTCAATTAAAAAATGTAAATTCCCTCATATTCACTAGAATTGCTATTGCAAAAATAGAATTTTCATTATCCGTTAATTTACAAATGAGATTAAAGTGAGAGAGAAAAAAAAATGGTTTTAATATTAGACCTTAGGTACCTCTAATCCTTTCACTTGAGGTCAATTAAAAAAAAAAAAAAAAAAAAAAATTCCTACGAGGTGACACAGTAAAGTTGCTGTTAACGCTATATAATGGCTTTGCACTTTGCGTAAAAGTATATAAGCTCATAGTAATTACAACCGTGCAAACATTCGGTGCTTCTTTTTTTCATCGCTCTTTTCTTTTTTTGCTCTTGCTGTCCTTGTCTTTACGTTATTTCCTCTTTTGCATTCCGCCGATGTTTATCTCTACCTCTTTAGGCACGTTCACTTGCTTTATTTTCCAGCCCCTCCACTAAGAATGTGAGAATCACGCTTTTATGTCCTCTCACTTGACTTTTTACTTAATTACATTCGTTCTTGTAATTTCAGGAGAAAAAAAAGTATTTCTCTTTTTTTTTTAGTAAATTGTAAAATTATTAAAGTTCACTGTGTGACGTGACATTTTTACAAATCACACGGATTTTAAATTAAGTAGAAAAAATATTTTAAAAAAAGTAAAGCGATAAAGAAAGATTTATTTAGAGTGAGTTTTTATTTTTTTTATCGTTTAATTATTCAAATTCAAACAGTTTTCGCGCCGTAGCGCTACCGTCGATTTTGTTCGCCCGCGCGCAATAAAGGTCAGGTTAGGCAAGTTTCCCTCGTTATCACCGGTGTCTTTACTTTCTTTGCGACTGGCGAAAAGTTGTTTTAAACTCGATTTATATTGAAATAAAATTATATATAGTGAAGAATATTCTTAATTACATTATTTGGATTATTTATAATCTTATTTAAATTTAACTTTTACGATGTCGTGGAGTATCGAGACTGTGAATTATATAGAAAACGATGATAGCGTCAGTGATAAAATTAATAGTAAAATTTAATTAATAATTTACAATCAAAAATTTATTTTTATTATTCATAGTTCATATGCCTTTCGTCTTTTAAACGTTATTATTATTATTATTATTATTATTATTATTATTATTATTACTATCGACAAATATTAATAAAATATGATATTAATATAATATTATATTAATATTTGTCGATAGTAATAATAATAATAATAAAAATTTATTTTCTTTATTTTTGCGTTATTGAGAAAAATATCATGGTTAATGAAAACAAATTATTATTTTTGAGAACTATTGCTGATGTTAGATATTTTTTTTGGCAAAATTGAAATTTTTGAGGTTATAATGAAAAAATTGTCCCTCTATTTTCTCTTCTGCAAATATATATATTTTTTTAAATATATATTTAAAATTCGTTTTCAATTTTTGTTACAAAAAAAGGTGGTAATTTTTTTCTTTCCTCCATAGTTATTAAAAAAATACATTTCACATTTTTATTAACATTTCCTTCTTTTCTGTAAATATCCATTGAAAAATTGCCACAAGAAAAATGCTTAATTAAAATACCTTAATGCAAGAAAAATTTAATTGCAATCTCTCAGTCACAGTTCCGCCTCTCAATTTATTTATCCGGAAGAACTTAATTAACTCCGGTTATCAAAATCGTTACATCATTTCTAGTTCTGTTCTATATGTAAAAAAAAATTTAATATTTGTTACCTTTTTAAAAAAAATCGGTAATTCAAAATTATTTAAAAAAATTTTTAATTCATTTTAATTTATAAATTAAATTTAAAAAAATAATACAAAAAAAATACTAATAGTAATGAAATTTCTATTAAAAAGAAATCGAAATTTTTTAAATTTAATTAACGCAAAGAAATTAATAGAAATTGAATATTTATGAAAAGAGAAAATCTTTTCTTAATAGAAGGCTAATTGAGTTGGTCAGGCATATCAGTCAGGGTAATCGGTGTAATGGAGCAGTGCTGAGTAGCATATAGTGTTAATATCACGCTTATACATGGTACTAATGACAGAGTATTGTTCAGCTAATTGACGTTTACGATGGATACAGCGATAGGAACACCATGAGAAATTCCCAGAGGCATCTCTCTGCACAACCATGGCTGTTGTTGAAAGGGTTGTCTTGGGAGTTAAAACAAGTTGCGGAAGATTGTTACCTGAACAAAAGCTCATCTCCACATTCTACATTCATATATATCTATATATGTACGCTGATAAAAGCATCTTAAGCAAACGACTTCCGTCATCTGACGACAACGAGCAGACAAATTGACATGTTCACTAACAATGTTCACCCTCATCATCGATTCCTTGCTTTCTAGTCTTAATTATATTTTTAATAATAATCCCATTTTTTTCTTTCAAATATGCCTCAAAGTTTTATCTAAAATAAGTAACAATATATTTAAAACAATTTGTGACATTAGACACTTAGTTTTCATTATCGTAATAAAATTAAATTATCGAAATATGAATTCAAATTTGACGCTTTTTAGCAGACGATAAAACGCTTGCGCGTGTAAGATTCAGATTAAGTTGGGAGAGAGACACTAAACTTAAAGGTTGGTCCCCAGTTTTATTAAAACGTTATAAAAAATGTTCTAACAAAAAATAATAAACCTTTGTTATAAATTTTGATTTTCTAAATAGTGGTTATAATTAATGCATGCTATTCTCATGAAAACTTCTTCCACCTCGACATATCCGGTTGTGTTTCACATCCGGTATAACGGTAGTGAAGATAATTTCAACCGAATTCTACATCTCTTCCGCTTCTTGGTTTCGTTGTTTTTTTTTGTCTTGTCTTCCTTTAAAAATTATTTAAACAATTTTCATTATTAAATCATTTTCACCTCACTGTGACGTATTTATAAAAAATAAATATAATTTAAAAGTACTCTTTTTTGTAATTAGTTTTACCGACAATGGTTTGAAAAAACAGGTGTATGTCTGTGTTAAATATCGGACAGTTGCTGAAGCGATTATTTATCAGAAGTTACATAAAGGCCATAAACCGTTTGGCGCTTTACGAGTTTATTTTCTGACAACATCAGGGTGCCAGGACAAAGTTGGAACCCACGAGTAAAAGAATTAACCTAAATGGAGTTAGTCATATTTTAGAAGGGTCAATCTCTATTTTATGCGGTCGTTAATTTCTGTCAAGTTCCAACACCTGCTAGACACATTGATGTTTAAGGGATCATAAATATACTTTTTTTTTTATTTTTATTCTCATACTTTTTCTACTTCCGTTATGTGACGAATAATCCATACAAGTTTAACCCGCTATTTTCTATATTGAAAATTACATTATGATTTTCATCTTTTAATAAACGTTTCGAAAATTTTTATTATAATTTAATTAAAAATTATAAAAGAAATTTAATTGCATTTCTATTTTTAAAAAAATGGGTCAACACAACAAAAATTGAAGAAATCCAAATAGATTTTGGTGAGAAGAAGATGGATCTAAACGATGGGATAGCTATTAGAAATATAGCAGATTCGTAAATAGAAGTGCTTGAAAATAGTTTCTATCGTTGGGTTTAAAGGTGAACCATACTAGTACAGATTACAAGGAACAGAATTCAAGAGGGTGAAATTACATCAAAAGGTAATAACAAGGGTGCAATAATGGCGTGCTGTAAACGAAGAGAAATGTGGAATGAGAGAGCAACTATTCGAAGACCCTTAGAGAAGATAGGAATGAGTTGCAATAACTGAGAATTCGTATCATTTCCCTTTTTTCCCCTTCACGCCTTTTCCTATCTTTGAAATTATCACTTTTTCTTTTACGAATTATATATCTATTGAGAGATGAACGAAAACCATCTAGTCTTATTGATGAATGTTTTTCATCATCAATTAATTTTTTAAAAAATTTTCCCAAATTTCAAAAAGGCACCTTCTTTCTTCATTGATTAAGAATATTTGGCATGAAGGATAAAAGTGCGTTTGGCATGGTATAAAGTGTATAATATTCACATTGTACACTGAAGTGATATTTGACGTATCAAATCGAAACCCAAAAATAGACGACCTAATTCCTAAAATTGTACAACTCGTATTCTCTCAATTTGTGGCTTGATATTTATACGCCTTAAGATGGAAGTACAAAAATTTAAAATTCCGTTTCCTCGCGAATTCTATTTTTAATATTTGACAAGAAAAAACAAGATTAATATTAAAATTGATTATCGTTTTTTAGAAAACTTTTCGGTAAATAAAAAAAATTATGGGTGGCAGTTCTGCAAATTTTCTGGAATTGGTTTCGGACTTAAGTGAATAAAAATTAATAAAATAACAAGATTAATATTAAAATTGAGTATCTATGTTTAGAAAAATTTTCGTAAAATAAAAAAAATTATGTATGTCAGTTTTGCAAATTT